CAAGTATTTCAATGCGGAAGACTTCGAGTTTAACCGGTACAGAGAAGCCATAAATAATTTCCAAGTCGCCGAAGCCAAGGTCACGTGGAGTATAAGTACCATGAACATTTGCCAGTCCTTAGTCTTCATGATAGGGATGTTGGTTACCATGATGCTTGGAGCGTACCAGGTTACAATGGGTAACCGAAAAGTGGGTGACTTTGTTACATTGATGATCTATCTGGGCCAGCTCCAGGGTCCGCTCAACTTCTTCGGCACATTCTACCGTACCGTCCAGCAAGCTATGATATCCGGGGAACGCCTCCTAGAGCTCTTCAAGCAGCGCCCAACAGTGGTTAATCGTCCCGGCGCCGTTGACGTCACTTCGTGTGAGGGCCGTGTCGAATTTTCTAAGGTCAAATTCGCATACGACAAGAGGAAGCCTGCGCTAAGGAACCTCACTTTCACATGCGAGCCCGGCACGACCACGGCGCTTGTCGGCGAATCGGGTGGCGGCAAATCTACCCTTTTCCGGTTGATGTATCGCTACTTCAACTGCCAGGAAGGTAACATTAAGGTAGACGGCCGTGATATTAAGGATGTCACTATCGACTCTGTTCGACGCTACATAGGAGTAGTACCGCAAGATACGGTATTATTTAACGACACCCTCATGTACAACTTGAGATACGCCAACCAGAATGCGACGGATGAGGATATTTTTGCCGCATGCCAAGCCGCCAGTATACATGAGAGGATCATGTCTTTCCCCGACGGCTATAACACCAAGGTCGGAGAGCGAGGCCTTCGCTTAAGTGGCGGTGAGAAGCAGCGGGTTGCCATAGCCCGAACCCTGCTTAAGAATCCTAAGATTATTATGCTGGATGAGGCTACCTCGGCTCTTGATAGCCACACAGAGCAGCAGATTCAGTCCCGACTAGCCACCATCGGTCGCGGCCGTACATTGCTAATCATTGCGTAAGTTCCCACAAAGTATAATATTATAATATGTGATAAAAAAAAAACTAGATCAGCTGACCGATTTTAGACATCGACTGTCTACTATCACCCACGCAGATCAGATTCTTGTACTGCATCAAGGAACTATCGTCGAGAAGGGTACGCACGATAAACTTCTTGAGCTCAATGGTCGATACGCATCCATGTGGAATCGCCAAGCAAAAGCCGAAAAGGCAGCCGAGGACGCCCGTAATGCGACGCGTAAGGCTGAAAAGCTTTTACGAAAGGCTAATATCCCTGCGGCTACGGGAGACCATCACAGCCGAAATGAACGGCCTAACAACAACAACAATGACGACTCGAGTAGTTCGTCTGATGAGTCGGTTACTCCCGGACGACATGGCGGCCAGTCAGAATCTACGACGCTGGTTGAAGGCTCCCCTCGATCGACCCACTAATCCTAATGTCCACTAACTTGGGCTCGATTCATGTCCATATTCCCATTTTCCGCGATATATAGTTTTTATTGCCTAATAAGCTTCTCACGCCCCGGGCTGCAGGGTATTTGCATTAAACATGGCGTTGGTGGCATATACAGAAAAAGACGCCTCTACATGGGAGGCTGTCGGCGGCTTTGCATTTCCGGTTATCACGATTCTTCGCAACGATACCAAAAAGACTCATGTGATTCTGTCTTATTTTAATTCACTATCGTTGTTCGCACAGCAGACGATCAGTCATGGCCCTTTGCATGAAAAAAAAGTTCGGGCAAAGACGGGATGGAACAGGAAGGAACGGAACGGAAACAAACCAATGTCGGGAGGGGGAGGGGTGAGGAAGGGCTTCTGCTTTTTTTATTTTTTTTTTTTATTACACGTCGTTTTTATTTTTATTTTTATTTTTTTTTCTGGTCGGGATCAAGTCAGTCGGGTTGTTATTGGCTTTTTTGAACGGTGGGCGGAGTACCACCTTAATGCGATGATGATGAAGAGATGAATGTATTTTCGATGACTTGGGTGGTTTTCACCCCATCCAGTGGTCCGACTGTTAATACCAGAAGCCTTTCTGAGTTTTATGAATAACGGGGTGGCAACTCTATCCTGTTCCTGTTCCCGTTCCCGTCCCGTTGCTTGCTAGTGTATTTGATATTTGATTATGTGCGTATACGAAACTGTGTGAGAGGTTCAAGTGAGGCTGAAGATTTCTTACTTAGGCTGCGTGGCAGTTTGATGATGACGTTACAGTCTTGCAACCCTTGGACTAGGTATAATTCCAAATTCTTTTTTTTTTTTTTTTTTTTTCCTTTTGTTTTCCATCACCCCAATACCCCAAACTCCAAACTGATTCCAAAGCAACCCCCCCTTTAACATCCCCCCCCTACCCCGTGGTCCGGGGTGTTTCGCTCGCGTGCGGCTCGCGTTTCTTCATGCCGGCAAAGCGGGAGATCTGCCATGATGGCTAATATAAATCTGAACCCCTATCTCTATCTCCCGGGCAGCGTTACATTTTTTATTTATTTTATATGTCTTTCCCCCCCCTGGACTAGGTAGGGATTAGATAGATTGATAGATAGATAGATGCCTTCTCCATTCTTACCTTGTCTTGCTCTTAGTAAGTGCAGGATGATGATCGCTGGTATATTGACGTAGGTAGGCAGGTGTATTGTATTGTATGCGCGTACCTTGCAGCAGATGGTCCTTGCAACGTTGCTTGTCTTGTTTGTTGCTGGGGGGAGGGGAGGGGGGAGGAAGAAGAAGAAGAGGAGGAGGAGGAGGAGGAGGGTATGTAGGCAAGGTAACGGTGACGGTGACGGTGACGGTGTTGTACATGGAAGGGAATAGTATGGAAGTTTAGCTGGATATGGAATATGGGAAAATGGGGAACGGAGTACATAGAGTGATGAATGAATGAATGTTACGGTGAGAGAGAGGCTATACTACTACTACTTCGTACACTATACTAACTATACTAAGACATTAACAAAAGAAAAGAAAAAAAAAAAGAGTCCCGGCTCAGCGTGGACCCTCTTCCTATGTCATGCCGTGCCTTGATTTTTTTGATTTTTTTTAGGGGTCCCTGTTACCCTTTTTTTTTTTTTTTTTGCTTCCCTGCGCCCTGGTCACCTGCAGTCTCGTGCGGTATATACTTCCATACCTAACGTATATTTCCATACTTACTACCACTTAACTTAGCTAGGCAAGGCATGAAACAACACGTACATGACATGACATGGTAGGTTAAGTTACATAGGTCAGGTTAGGTTAGGTATTCTTTTTTGGGTACATATGCGGTACTTGGAACCTATGTAATCGTAAAGTCACGACACGACACGGCAGCGGTGGATTCCTCTTTTTTTTTCCTTTTTTTTCCTTTTTTCCACATTTGTTATAGTTATAGAAGGATTACTATACTATACTATACTATCCTATCCTATCCTATGGATGTATTTTTGGGGACTTACATACATATAACATGGGATATAACGGCTATACATACACTAGCAAAAGGGCCGTCTAGCTTCCTTAGTTTTATCGTTTGCGAATCCTTCCTCCTTCTCACCTACCATAGCTTTTTTTTTCCCTCACCGCAAGCCGCCGCACACCCACCACCGCTCGTCCGCCCGCCCGCGCTACGCCACGCCAACCACGTGTACCATAACTCCGTCCTCGGAACCGGGGACCAACGGACCGACTGGGACTACCTTGTGTGCTGGAGCTGGAGCTGGATTCTTGACCGCGTGTTTACATACTTTACTTGCTTAGCTCTTTTCTACATACATACCTCATAGTATACGATCTCCTACATACCCATACCCATAACATACCCATCTCTTCGCCTCGGTAACACGTATCTATCCAACTCCATATATACCCAACATACGTACATACATACATACCTAACGTACCTAATCTACCCAGCCATGTAAGTCACTAGACCAGACAAGCCAAGCCAAGCCCCAACGTGCCGGCCACCAGGGCCTCGGGACGAACGACCCGCGCTCCCCCCTTCCCACCCCCCTAGCCAAGAAGCGCGTACGTGCCCTAATGTAGGTACGAAGCACAAATGACGGTCTACGATACTACCTCCTCTTAGCCTATACCAAGGCGTATCTGGGGGATACCAGCTTCCGGAATATTCTCTGGGACACCGTCGTATCCGGGAAGAATACAGAATCTTCTTCTGTAATCAGCGTATGTGCATTAGTATGTAAAATCCCCCCCCCCCCCCCCCCCCCCCCCCCCCCGACAACTCTCGGCCGAGAGTTCCGCATGAGCACGCGCCCACGCACGCTCGCACGCTCTCAAAGCGTAAGCCAAGACAGAGGAAACGAATTAAACGCGTCATATCAAGGGTCTCGGGTATGGCTTAGACGAGGCGGATCTTTCCTTACTATAGTAAGGAATCCGTCCATCCACCATCTTTTATTAATAATTATATATATATGGGATGTTTGGTTATGGGTTTTCAACTATCGTACGTAGGAAGGGGTAGTAGAAAAAAGACAAAAGCAAAAAAAAGAACGGACAAATGCTCTCTTCTCATCATGCTATGCTCATCGTTGGTCAAAAGTCGTTGGTCCATCTCTCCGTCATTAGTACATTAATCAGCCAGACAGCTCCCGTAGCATCCATACCAAGCAAGCAACAGCAAGCAAGCTCGTAGAAGCCGAGCGCCCCAGACAGATTGTTCCCAACGTGTTCCCCGACCCGCCGCAAACCAACAACTCATGCTTCTCATCTCATACCTGGGCAACGTACCCAAGCGACCAAGAATCTCCCCATGTGCGCCGTTCCCATGACCCGTGAGCGAATGGCTTGGGATGCTAAACCCCGTTCTCTAAACGCCTATGCCTATGATCGCTTAGACAGGCCGTCAAGGAACATACTGGTACCTATTTTCAAGAGAAATGCGTTAAATAGCAATTCCCGCGAATACCAATAGTCTCCTCTGCGTCCGCCGTTTATGCTGAAATGCTGTATCGTGTTGTACATACAAGCCCCCTACTGGTTAAATTTTTACAAGCGAATGTCGTGAATCGAAGGCAAGAAGCGGCTAACGTTCTATCGAGCCGCCTTCTTTTTCGACGCCGACGCTGACCCGTTCGAGCGGGTCTTAATGCCGTTTGCATTGCCGTTCCCGTTAGCATTGCCGTTAAGCAACGGCGTTGCTTCGGTGCTCTCCTTAATCGCTTTTGGTGTCTCTGCCTTCTCGTTCTCTGGCTCGTTAATATCAGATTCCTCAGCCTCGGAACGATCGTCGTCCGCTTCGTTATAGACGATGAAGCGGTAAGCAATCCTCACGATGAAGAAGAACCAGAACAGGTTAAGAGCCTGCAGAGACGAGAGGAGGGTTAGAGTAATAACGAAAGCAAGTTCGCATTTATACTGTCCGGTTTCCCAGTTTAGCTCATAAGGGCCGACAGTCCTGAATTCGGTGAATAGTGAATAGATAATGCGGAGGTTAAGATAATGACGTAGGTAGGCCCATGAGGTCATAAATATGAAGAAATAAGGTCCTACTAGAGGGTGATCGATGTAATTGAGAGTTTTGGAGGTCTGTTTAAATATATTAGTATTATACGTTGGGTAACTTAAGGTACCCCGAGGGCACGGGTCAGACTTACAGCAAGGAAGAAGTCACTAATGTCGTGGGTAATGTAGACAGCCAGACCAATATAGGTGAAATGAAAGCGGTAGCTTAGCGCAATAAGCGTCAAACTAACGATATGGTGGCCAACGAGCTCCTTATAATCCTTTCGCGGCTTTTCTATGCCAAGCAAGAGGACAATAGCTTGTTGGGCCCAGTAGGCGGCCTGGAATAGGTAGTAGAATTTGAACATGGCCTCGTGCGTCTTATGAGGGAAGTTCTCATACATGCCGCGAGTGTTGAAATACCAAACAGGAGTTCGGCTCATGACATACATACCGGTCGGTCCCAAGAACCCAAAATAGATGGCGGTATACATCTGCTCTAGGAAACGAGCTTGTTTAGCACGAGACTTTAGACCGGCTTTCCTAGCGAGCGGGCGGAGAAGTTCTTGCATGATAAACTCGCGCGTAAAGGAGAGGACGACGGTATAGAAAGATACGAAGGCGATATCCCACGGCCCTTTGCCATATTGGATAGGCGCTTCGGGATCAGCACCGGCCTCGAGCGGGAGCTTATACGAGAGGAAGATGAAGTGATGGGCAGGATTCGATTCGGTCGGGTTAATGGCGTATACAGACAGGAAGACGGCCAAGAGGACTAGGGGTAAGACCCAGGTATGCTTGAGGGCGTAGTGCTTGCAGCGACGTAAAAAGGAGCGAGCTTTGCGACGCTTTGAGCCCCTTTTAGACACTTCCTTGCCATCCGGTGTTGATGGCTTTTGCGTATGTCCATTTGTATCTTGAAAGGTCGCGAGACTGGCTTGCAAACTAGGCGCACCCGTATCTCCTACCCTGATGTCTGTACCAAGCACGCTCGACTTCCTACGCCGACGCGCATTCCCTTGATCAGCTGCCGAGTGTAATTGATCGGCCGAGCTATTGAGGATTGGAAATGGTTCCTGGGGTGCCATTTTCACAGAGATCGATATTGTCGCAGAACACTAGGTGTAAGACGAAAGGAGCTGCGAAGATAGACACGCAGCAGATGACGTGAGGACGCCTACTAATAGACGATATAAGCAATTTGGAATTTCCGGCTTTGACGATCCCGGCTACCTAGTCGATCCCAGAATGCTTAAGGAGTGAAAGCAATCCAGACTTCTAGTATCGATAGGCGGGAAAAAAGAATTAAGGTGGTTGTTGGAGAGAAGAAAAAAAGGGAAGAGGAGGTAAAAAGTTACGGTGGTAGTGCCAGCGGTTGGTGGTCGGTGGTGCATGAGATTTGATAGGATTTGATAGGTCTGATAGGCAGATTAACATTAATGGACTAGTAATAAGCCTCGTTAAGAACTCATATTTATGCTCTTAAGTGTTGTAGGTAAGATTGTGTAATAAAACTTTTAAGTTGGACCCTTTCTGCCAGCACCCAGAAACAACATAGCGGGGCAAGCATATGATTTCCGCAATCACCAACTTTAATTAGCACTGAAGGGTCCAGCTTGCTTTTGTCGCTTTTGATTGGTCATTTTGTCTCTGTCAAAGACTAACGTTACTAGCTGTCAGGCTATATGCCGGCTCCACCTACGTATAAGGCTTCACATTTCGACCGAGGTACAATAACTTTGCTTCAGCATAACTTCTATATTCTATCAATGCGGTGAATATTAAATATGCATAGGGTTTGATGGGGATTCTGTGCTGATCCATTCTTACACATATGCCTCAACGGCTCACGTCCTCCCGTACGAGTTAAAATAACTCACCGCTAAACTAACCACGGACACTGGGGGCGAGTTATGAATTACGAGTTATGACTATATCACCGTCGGCTATGAGACGCAAGTCACCTCGGCACAAATAATGATACATCACCTGAGAACCAGATATGATATGATATGAGATTTGGCAAATGATAATCGCTTCATATTCATGACCCAAAATACCGCATAGCAAGTTGGGGTTATGCTATAAACTAACATCATTCGATAAAGGCTTTTTAACTAAGAGCCTCTATTCAACCCGCTCTTAATTCAAATGCGCCGTCAATGCTCATACTCACAATCCGAGTAGCAATGCTAAAGACCTATATACAGTGGCCGATACCACTTATCGAGTACCTACGCCGGTTATACTCGTTATATTCGCGTAACAGTACTCCATCAATGCAAATATACATTGCAACCTATCAACCCAGTAGCATACTATAATAAGTAGGCGGAGATTCGCTATTCCTTTCCCTTTTTGAACCCAATGCGCCATATGATGCAGCCAAAGAAACAAAGCACCCCAAGCGCCGCGCTGCCATTAGATCACAGGAATATTCGATAGAAGTAGGCCGGAAATTACTACACAGGTGACGACGTGTGATGCTGGTCATCCCCTAATATGTCGTCCACTGGTCGCCTTTCGCTGGCCGTTCTTTCTCGTTGATCTCCACTCCTATGAGTATGAGTTGGAGTCGGAGTCGTCAACGAGTTAGTATCGCGCGTATTAGGCGGCCTACGAACGTGTGTGCTATTCCTTTCCACTGGGCCTGGAATTGGCCTAGGCGCGGTCGATGCCGTACTGTTATTTCTAGTAACATGATGCGAATGTGGCATGGGTCCGGTTGCGGCGCTTGTACTTCTCGGCGTATGCACCGGTGCTGGTGGCGAAGAGGAAGATATTGGTGGTTCGTGTGATTGCTCTTGTGACTCTATTTGTAGTTCTTCTTCTTCTAGTAGTTGAGCTAGCGCCGCGCCGCGACGTGGAGGGGCGGGTATAACGGTAACCGGCAAGCTATCTGTATCTGGAGTCGGTCGAACCCTTTCTAAAATTCTCTCTGCCTGGGTGGCGGCAAAGATTTCTACCCGTCCTCTGAGGTCCCATCTACCAACGCTTTCGTAATCACGCCGTTTTGGTTGTTTGGGTATTGTGTGTGGGATGACTTCCGCGGGGGGTTCCTTCGCAGTACGATGGAATGGGTTCAGGTAGTTCCAGCGGTTCGAATTTCCTTCCTCCCCATTTCTCCTTTCCGTGGCGCGCGCTGATGAGGGTTGTCGCGACGGCGGTGTGCTCCTAGGCTGTTCATTGCTCTCTACTACAGGACTTGATGCCGAGGAGGTTGCACTATTGCTTCTGGACAACGGTCGGCCATGCCTATCATCTGTAGTCCTCGAAGTGGTCTCTGTAAGAGGCTGATATCGTACCGCGTAAACGGTACTATCAGCACTTGCAGTATCCGTTCTACTTACCGGTGTAACTGCCGGGGGTGGCCGGGAAGGCCATAGTGGGGGCTGTAAGAACCGCGCTGCTGACCTGCCCGTTGTAGGGGCTTGTTGTCTCCTATCCGGGCTATTCTCCGTCCTCGACCTATACCGGCTGGCAATAGATGACATAGCTGGCCACATATTGCTCCGACCACCCGATAACGAACTGTTACCACTCTCACCTCCATCATCACCGTCCTCGCTCTTTCTTTTATTCTTCCGCCGCTTAGACCATGTGAGGTCCGAAGGAAATACCTCCATCATTTCGTCGCCGTCAAAGACCTCCCTTCCTAAAACCCCATCTTTCTTCTCTTCACGTTCTAACGCTTCAATCCGCTCAACCCACTCCCATACTACAACACTTGCTGCGGCGGCACCGACCCATCTAACATAATCACCCCATCCAGTGAATTCGGGTTTCGCTATGTCGAGGACGAAAAATATAACCGGGACAAGAATCGATATAATAGAAAGAGCTGCCATGAGGCATATGTTCTTCATAAGGGGATGGTAAAAGGCATATCGTTTCTTCATGAGTGAATAATAGAGCACCCACGCAGCATATAATAAACCTAAAGATAGTTGAAATAGATAGCTAAGCGCCGGCACAGCGTCTGTAAAACTGCGTGGCCTGGTATTGCCCTGTTTGGTGTAATGAAAGCTATTGAGAGCACCGAAGATAACGTCTAACGTAATAAGCGAGAAAGCTGTCCATTTTATGATAACCTTCTCGCGCTGTCGAGGGAACAGTCGTATAAGGGTCTGGGCTTGGGCCAGCCAGAGGAACGTATCGGAGATAAGCTGAATGACCTTCAGTTGGGTTCCTCCCAGCACATCCTCCTGAAGTTGTTGTGCATTCTGAATTCCTAACGCGTATTGTTTCTCAGCCACACGGAAAGTATCCGCCGTAGCAATAGATAAAGATATAGCAACAGTTAAAGCCGCAACCTTCTGCAGCCATGGTCGACCACCAATACTAATGCCATTCGAAGGACCATTCGTGAATCCACGCCGGCCTAAAACAACAACCCCACCGTCAAGAAACGATCGAGGCGCGATAACAAGCATGATAAGAAGTAAATAAGCAAGAACCGTCGTAGCAGCTAGAGCATAACATTGCGGGAAGATCGAAGCGTAAAAGGGATCGCGGAAGTCGGAGAATTGAGGACCAGAATCCGATGATGTTTGGTCCAAATCGAAGGCTCCGTTCGCGATGATGGCGGGCTGGGGCATAGCGGTAGGCGTGCAGAGAGGCGAATAGACGGCGTTGGCCGTTAAAAACGTCGGGTCGGCTCCAGGAATGTGCAATAGACCGCTCGAAGGGATGGTATAAGGCGTGCAGGAAGCATCGAGAGTCAATGTCGCCGTAGCAGCCACCCTGGGCTGCCGGAAGTAGTGCGAACCCATCGTAGAGGGATGAACAAGAGGCCAGTCGCTAGGCGACGATGTTCAGGCACTTGCGATGCTACCGCGAGGCATTCGCCATGGAATAGGGATAGCCTACGAGGGCTTCGATAACGCGACGGGCCCGTGTTGCGTGGTCGAGTCGAGTCGAGTCGGTCGAATACGGTGTGTGTGCGCGGTATAAACTCGTTACGCCCAAGATGACGGTTCTCGCGCGATAACAATCGATCCTCCAATTAATCCTTTCCGTCAATTCAATTACTTTTTTTATTTTTTGTTTAAACGCTGAATAAAACAAATGCTTCGTTCGGATTCGTTAGCGGGGATGATTTTCGTCGGTTCTTGATATTCGAGGTTGATGTCTGGGCGCCCAGAAGTCTTGGGATGTAAAAAAGAGACGGGAGATGGGAAGCCAACAGGAAGCCAACAGACGGTTGGTTCGGGGGTGGGCAAAAGCATCAAAAGGTCAGACTTCGCTCGCTTGAACGCCCATCGCATTCAACCCCTGCTAAGTGGGGAAAAAAAGGGAAAAGGGAAAAGGTATTTGAGATGGGTTGGCTTCTAGCCTCCCGGGGTCCGACGGGATTGGTTGGCAGAAAGTCAATTAATTAGTGGACCGGCCTCCCTTAAGAACCTGATGTATTGTACCCGTCTCAGAAGGTGTTTAGGGAGGTGCATTGGTGCATTGGTGTATTTGGTGCATTAGTAGATTGGTAGAAGGGTACGACCTAGATAGAGGTTAGTCCACACTCCACACTGTGCAACATAATTAGCAACCGCACGCCACCTAAATGTGACAGTGGTGCGATTGCAGTACGCTTTGCAGTACGCTTTGCAGTATACATATACCTAACATTTGCAGTGCAATGATACATGGAATCGTCTGGTAGTTCAACACTAACGTGTCTACATATCAAACTCCCAACACTGTGCTTACAATTTCCTCTATATTCGTCGTTATTTAATTCCATACTTGGAAAGTGTCTTCACACCTCTCACGTCGATAACGGACCCTAAAGAAACAGCCGAATTATTCGCTATAACTTGATCTTCGTAAATACCAGTACAACCAATTCGGCATTTCTCGGATAAAACTTGATCAAATTTAGAGACCATGACGTTCTTAGGATTAAGTGCCGTGCATCATATCCAGCAGACACGGAGTTTTCGTCCGCTTTAGCGCAGAGGTCATGGAGTTGTAATAAACTTGTACGTTAGTGAGGTTGGATGAGGTTGGACGCGATGGTCTTGCAGTCCTGCAACCTAGGTCACCCGGACGGATGAGAGAAAGCCACATCGATTAATTTTGATTACCTACCCAGAACGGTAACTAAGGCGAAAGCGACTCTGTACCTTCTGTTCAGCCGGAATGGAGATGCCGTATGTAGGGTGGCACTGCGTACTGCGTGATAGACCACCATTCGGCCATTCTTCGCTAATTTTAAGACATGATAACATATATGATGGATATGATGGTCCCGCAACGAAGGAATACGGCGAGGAATGCAGCAAGTTTGTGGGGAGGGAGAACTTTGACAACTTGACGCCGTTTATTAATATTATTAATGAACTCAGGTGGATAACAACACAATTATGAATTTGTGTAGTTATACGGATTAATAGGCATCCAGTTAAGTCGGACACTCTCTTCCGCCATAAACTATTGGAGCGCATATAAAGACGATGAAAATACGAGGAGGTATTTTTATCTATGTAAGGATCGATCCGTCCTTTGATTTTTGATATTCTCCCACAGGCATATTTGCATATTTTCTCAAGGCATGATGCAACGATAGGTACAAAGGCAACACCCCCTGACCCGTTACAAGGTTCCCGTCTATGTGGCGCGCGAACCACAAAGCTTAGCCACATCAAAGCATCCCGAAAAGCAAATGCGAATATCAAATCTCATATTCAAATCCAAGAAGAGAAGAGGAAGAAAAGGAAAAAAAATAGCTACCCCGCGATCTTCGTTGTTCTCGGCGCTCATCGCCAAGGATCCCAAGAATTGCTTACTTCCCGCCTCCGATGGACATGTTCTTGGCAACTTGGCAAAGCTTATTGCTCGTGGACGTCGCCTTGGCATTATCAAAGATGATCTCCCGTTCAGTATTTCTGGTTCAAACTCTTGTCTCCCGCATTAACAAGCAGACTATAACGTAAATTCAACTAGATTCAACTAGATTCAACAAGATTCTTACCCACTTGGCGGTAAAGCTTACTTTAGACACATTAAGCGCGCGAGGATCAGGCTGTTAGGCTCGCATGATGATTATCCTAATCCTAACCCCAACGCCACAATTTTAGATCTCATCTTATGCATGTCTAAAGGTGAGACGAGTCGACCATCCACTATAACTTGCACTATAACTTGTGGTCCGTGGTCCGACTCTGCTTATTTCTTCACGTCTCCGTCGAGTCGGGTATTTTAGGGGGGCTGAGGTGTGCTTCGTATCGACGCTGTTGATGTTTCCTTAATCGCCCGATCTCTTAGATGGTTGATCTCCAACATGAAATCACATTCGGAAATTGATCGTCTGCATGGCTGCCGAAACAACCTCCTGTCTCAGTACTACCTAATGTTGTAAGTTTCTCGCAATCACTTGCCGTGATCAGACCTGATGTCGAGATGCTGGAGGTCTGTTTAGAGGACCATGTCTCTAGCGTTCTAGAGCATCTACTAGTTAGTGTCATTCCGGACGATCAAAGATTGTACCGCGCTCTGGGCTCCTAGTAGTGGTCTTGTACTTACTAGCTCGTTCCATTGTACCACATATGTAGAGTTACCTACTATGCGGTAAACATACCCAGGTAGGTATCTTAGGTACGGGGAGGGTTCTCTCAAGACATATAGCACTCGATGTTCAAACAAGCAAGCTACCAAAAGCTCAAGCCAAAATATAATAGAAAATATACTATATTTCTCTCACAATGAGTACAATATACTGACACTAAACGGCATTACACCATACCCATTACACAAACCACACCTTACGAAGCACGCCCATCAAGGGTAAACCCAGTATTTCATCATAAGACACGGGAAGTACGGTAATAGTGATACTAGACCAGTTTGCTTCGTACCAACTGCACGGCAAGTTGGTCTAGACCAAAAATGCAAAGGCATTCCGGTTAACCAGAGCAAACTCGCTTAAGAGCACGGGTCCCTACTTTTCGTAGGACGTTGGGATTGGCGCAAGAGATATTGAGGCTTTTTTCTTCTTCTCGGGACGAATCTAAATCTAGACGAACCCACAAACTGCCATAGCGTTGGCTACGTCAATGGATTGTCGAGCCTGTACGATGTGAGTTATGCCATTATCATAGATAGTATGCTATACCTCGACATATACACCACTCGAAATAGTTGAAGTATCCGAGCCCCAAGCCACCTAAGGTCTAGCTACGATATTAAGAAAAGGTCGGTGACACACTTTATATAAATTAAATATAGACAAGGTGAGAAAAAATAGGCCGTATTGGTATATTTTAGCCAGAGTCTTAATATGAGAATGGTCCTAGTATCTACTGTAGGGTCGCGAATATCTAACCTAACCTAATATCTTCAGTCCTATACGGAAAACGTAATTATAGTCCGGTAACAAGATAATTACCTAGGTATTCTATAGCTCTATATAAGACGACATTCATTGTAGACAGAAGGGAACTCCCACTGGCCGTACATAGTTCAAGTGCGTGAATCGAATGTGTAGGTATACCGTCCCCTATAACACAACCAACCAGCTTTCACCATCCTCACCTTCCACAGCACAATAACCCCCATATCCCACGCCCCATCCCGTCCCATCCCTTCAGCCCCGTCTCCCCGTAAAACTAAAGATCAAGATTCCAAACCTGTGTCCGCCATGCATTCATTCATTCATTCACTTCACGTATAGTACATACACTGTAGCAATACCCCTAATCCGTATCCGACACACGGCCATAACGCCTCCTCCCAAGAGCGCCCGTTCCCCTATATAGGTGTATATAAGCAGAATATTGGATGGCTACCTTAAGTATATATTAACTAATCCAAAAGTATCGTCTCAGAAGAACGGCGTAAATGAATGAACGAAAATTGAAAAATTGCTTGGCTGTCAGTGGCTTTTTTTTACGACCGTTCTATATATAGGTGGATACGTAATATCGTGGCTGGCCGTAAGAGGAACTTGATACATGAGCAGTAGGATTTTATGAATATTAGGAGGAAGAACTAATCAATACAGGTATACCCAGGTAAAAGTAACAAAGTGTAGAGCTATGAAACTACGACCTCATTAGGGCGATGATTTTGTAAGGAGGCTTGAAGTAACACTACTCAATTCTGCAGTCGAAACTAACAGTCCTGGTTTCCGGGTAAGAACCACTGAGCATCATTAATTCCTGTTGATTAAAGGTTATATGGAAGCCGTATACTGGTCTAACAATGACGACTGACGATTGACCTAAAGGCTACTGAGTGGTAGTCTGTATACCACTGTGACCTCGTCTTCATTAATCAACCACCCAGTATTTTAACCCCGTTTTCTCCCTCCCAACCCTCCCCTGAACACCACTAGGTGTTCAGCCTCACAATACTGCATTATTCAACTACTTGGGTTAAGTCCGTATTGATAACTAAGTCGTCCCTGCCCTTCAAGTGCATAACAATCGTAACCCCCTCGATCCCCAGGTCATCTTCCTCATTCATGATGTTTTCGTCAGCCCGTCTTGCATAATCAATATCTGCTCCCCTAAGGGAAGCCCTAGTAGACAGCTCTGCTTTCAGTAAGCGAATCTCAGCTGTCAGTGCCAGATAGCGATTCTTCCAGCTGCAATCGTGGTTCGGGGGCGAAATGGGACTGGGCCGGTGAACTTCGAACTCCGAAGTTGCATTAGTGATTGTGATAGACGATTTTCTATCTTCAGGTTCCAGTATTACGCTCCTGCTTTCGAACATTCCATGCTCGTCCATATCACGTAGGACATGTCGTGGCTGTAGAGGCGAGTGGCTGGCACGAGTCGTGGTACTCAATGGAGAACGTCCATTCTCGCGTTCTGTATGGGTGTCATCTCGATAAACACGTTCATTTTCAGGACCGTCAGATTTAATCCGAGGTTGCTCATGCACGAAGCTGTGAGGGCGTTTAGAACCCTCTAGACTATGCTGCGAGTGGGATATATCCGAACGAGCGAGTGGGGGGCTACGATATGTATTTCGTGAGTATCTAATATCTTCGACCTGAAGGTGCGTTGGACGACGTCTGTCGTGTGAGGATGCCTGCCGATTTTCCGCTGGTGAAGTTTCTGTATGGGTATGTTCCTCGAAGCTTGTTCTGGACGACAAATGTTGAGATGAATGATCCTGCTAGGACTCTGGTCTTTGGTGCTGCGTGATATGCAAAGCTGTTGGAGGCGAAGGAGCAGAAACCCGTAAGAAATCGTTACTCGAGCTGGTTAACATGTTGGGCGAATTCTTTTTGGGGGTTGGCCCATGAACTAGACTCTGTGAATGATTTACCCTTTCCCCCTCTTGGCTCATTACATCAGCGTGTAACAAACGCCCACGGTTTCCGACATCGATATGGTGCAGTCTAGACCGAGCGTCGCCTGCTTCTTTGCTCGGGGCTTGTAACCATGATGGTGGACTGAACACACGGCTCTTTGGTAAAGATTTCCTACCTCGGGTGTGACGTCCAATCACCTTCGCCGTGTTTGCTGTATATGCTCTACTGGTAGCCTCGCCCCTGGTCACGACATGATTTTCTGCAATATCATGCTTATCCTCATATCCTTGATCGACGTAGGAAGCACATTCGGTTTCGGTAGATTTGAACTCTTGGCGTTGGTCTGTGATACCGTATCCAGCCTCGTCGACAGCTTTACCCGAACGACTACTTTGTGGGTGCCGAGTTCCGTGGTTAGCGCCACCAGCAATATGTTCTGCAACATGATAAGGTGTTTGGAGACCTGCAAAATGACGCCGATGAATTGTATCATATGAGGGTCGTAACGTATCTTTCCTAGGCTGCAGGCTCAGCGGATGACCGATGGAAGGGTTGCCCGATACTAGTAATTCTCTGGGTGAGCCCCTATGTTTTTCCACCTCCTCACTTCGGTGCAAAGCACAGGTGATACTATGCCGGTACGGGTAATGTCCAGCATGTGTCGCTCTACACATAGGATTATCACATTCTACATGGTTATTAGATACTTCATGATCCTTACCACCTATCTGTGGTTGGGGCCTGTAGCAATGATAATGTCGGATAGATAATGGCCCAGGAACGTGGGATTCCGTAGTTGATTCCACCCTCTCCTTGTCACCGACCACAAAAGGATTCTGCTTCACTGAGCGAACAGTTAAACCCTGTGGCGAGTCTGGTCTCCTTGATACAAGACTTGCAGTGGGTATTGCCACAGTTTGTGCTGGCTTCTCAGTGCCTATGTTTTTCGAAGTCGCTGGATGTAATTTAGCGGTAGCATTTTCTTGATAATGTGCATAAGATGGCTGATGTAAGGCCATACGCTGAGTTGATCGGTTATTGCTGGTCCTGTTAGACGATCGTGATACTTTCTGTGCTAATTGGACAGGCTCTGGAGTCGATAAGGCTGGTTTGGTATACTGTGCTTTATTTTGCCTGGTAGAATGATTGTGATTATGCGAAAATGTTTTATGCTCTTTTTCAGTGCTCTTAGGGACCTCACATAGGCATTTTTCACATAAACGATGCCGACAAGATAAGCAATGAGTTTGCGACCAAGTTCGCGTAGAACAGACGTGGCAGATTCTGCAGAAGCGTCGGGGGCCGGCAGTCCTATCGCCTAAGAGAGATAGGTCTTCATCATCAGAAAACCAACCGGTTGGCCTCCTGATACCATGTTGCTCAAACAGTTCGCGGGCAGACTGGCGTTGCTTGGCTTCAGTAACTAGGTATGAAGTTTGCGAGATTGTCGACGCGCTCGAAACCCTTGATGCTAAGGGGATATACTGTGGCGTCTTTAGGGATTGAATTGGCGATGGAGGTGGTCCGAAATTCGAATACGAAATCAAGTCGTCAAATGCCGAGGGGTGGTACAGTCGGGTATTCGGACCTGTGATATCATACCTTGAACTACTAACTGCGAAGTCGCTGGAGTAATTCGGACGAGAATGCTGGCTCGAATTTGCAGGTCTCCGAACATTCTCAGTCAGGTTAGAAGTACTAACTGTAATAATAGGGCCTTGATCATGGCCACTCCGGTTACGCTCCAAGTCTGCGAGTGAATATGTAAGAGGACCAAGCCATGGTCTCGCAACATGAAAATATGAACCCGAATGCCGTCCCTAGCCAATCAGTACATATTTTCGTTCTCGGGCTGTAAACTCGGAGTCCTCCGGTAGACCATGATGGGAATGAGTAAGGCGGTGAAGCCGACGTATCCGCGAAGAAACAGTTCCTTTCGGAATGATTCTTTGGGCCAACGATACTGGTTCGTAGGCAGTGGATACATTTGCATTCGTCAGAGGATCACCCCATGAACAGGTCGACATGTTTATTAGCTAAGATGTTGATCTTAAATCTATGACTAACAACAAGAGTCGGCCACGACAGTGATTTGCCACTATAATAAAATAACCAATATTCGATATACTCGTGGGGGTTGATAGGAAGATGGTTTAGGTTGACCACAGGCATAAATTAGATGTACATGCAGATACCTCCTAAGGTAGACTCCCTAAGGTAGACTTCAATAGTATAGAAATAGCAAGATTTTAACTTTAGACCTTGGTAAGAAAAAGTAGGGAAGTTGCAGGAAGCTGCAGGAAGAAGTAAGGCAAGCACTGATACAAATAATGGAAAGTACTATAGTGTCTAGTAGACCTTAAGCATGTTCAATTCGTGCTATTAGGCGGATTTGTGATATGGAGCATGTTTGTGATATACAGGTTGCCATTTAAGTTTCTCCCCCCCTTTTCTCTAAAATATGACCTATTTGAGAACAGCTTGCAAGCTCTCTAGAACCTGTGAATATATTAGCAATCATTTGATCGTAATTCGAATAGTTGTATATGTATATGTATATATCTATAACATACCTCTAGCTCAATCTTGGCTTCCGCAATGTCCTGCTCACTTCCGCTACCATTCGCAACCTTTTGTGCTTCGGCGATTTGTGCCTTAACAGCTTCTGCGCTGAAATCTTCAAGAGGATATCCCTCAACAGCGTTGATGCTTAAAACTGAGTTGGGCTGCACGACGGCAAAACCACCGGAGACTATTGTAGGGTTAGATTTAAACCCGTATTTTGATAACGTATTTTTCGTGTTACGTACGGAAGAATTGCTTGCTGCTACCGGTCTCCTCTACGACTTCGATCAGACCTGGCTTCAATTGCTCAATCGAAGGTACGTGGTTGGCAAGAACACCCATTTCTCCAGACTCGGCGGGGATGTTGACTTGAACAACATCTTGGGACTTGTATATAGACTATTGAGGGAATTAGCTAGCTATACTGTATTGTATTGTAGTGTGCGCTAATTAGGATTATATGCTCTCGATGGTAATATTTCGAGGATGATACGGTACGACGGGGTTAAATCTCATACCTGATGAGGGAGAGACAAGCTCAGCTTGATCTGGGGGGAGAGTTAGCAACAGACTTAGCACAAGAATAGATACCGACTGAGAAGACAAACCTTGTCCGATGCAGCTTCAGCGTAGGTCCTTCGCTGAAGGGGTTGAATAGGGAGCCGCATGGCTGCGGGACGAGCCCTAAGGGCTGCGCGAGCGACACGGAGAGTGTTCATGATGACTAGTGCTGCCAATTGAGGAATACGCGACAGGGCAAGCTCACGATGAACGTTGACTTGAAGCAATTTCGAAGTTGTCGGGCTTTCGGCAGAGAATTGAGTCTAGCCTCATTTGGTATGAATAAAGCACGTGACTTGAAGACATCCGATTTTGACAGAGTCGACAGAATAGTAAATCACATGATTGAATGATCCACCTTAGTCATCAAGCCACCCTCAAGCTGTTGGCTAGGAGTGCAGCACTTACACATAAGTGATCACTTACAACAAACAAATAGCATAATATTTTAAATTTTAGTATGATCAAAAGCCAACTACTTTTCTTACTTCTCCGAGAATTACCCAAAAGTGTACGATATAATTTAACTACGATATAATTCATGGTCAAGATATCTACACCGGTTAATTATAATACCGCTTGTTCTACACTAGAAACATTAGGTAGTAAAAGTGACATCGCTGTTAAAACGTGGCGGGTTGGGTTTTGAAGGAAATAGTATCGTTAAAGCGAACTTTGCCCTGCCAAGCGAGGATCATCAATTGATTTCGAATCTTTGTACAACTCAAGCTTTCAATATGCCTAAATACGTACCTCCCAAGGTAGGCTAGGCGAAATAATGCATTCTCATTAGTGCGCTAATTTGTTGGAACATTGAAGGCGTCGATTGAAACTCCATCTATTGCATCATTGCTTGATTTGTGGTTCATCATGCTTCCGAATCTAATTCTAGCATCTTATTTAGTGCTACTCAACTAGGCCGAGGCCCCCAAATTATCGCTAGACTAAAGGATGACCCTCAAACTGCGGATTTGAGTAGAGACCCTGGAGGGATCCTACATACATGTAAGCGGATGTCACACATCTATTAAACATCACGAGTGAGGGGGATAGACTGCACATAGTAGTATATCAACAAGGATTTGGACCCTGCCATGCCTTCACCCATGTGTACAACAGGAATAAAGGCGTGAACCGTCAACGGAGAATTGGCCATGCTAGGTTTAGTATAATTTTTTTTACCACGCGCTGATACCGCCTTTAGTCTTTAGTACTACGAACAAGCTTGATGGGCAGTTTTGAATGCGGGGTCCTCGAAGCTAGTATCTGCATACATAGGGTACTACTATGGAGATCTAACATGCTAGGCTGAATGTGGGAGGGAGGGGGATTCGACCCTCCTTACCGTAGCAGGAAGGGCAAGATCACAAGTACGAATTTGACTAGGCATCGCCCGCCCGCCGCTACTGTCTGATCACCAAGTGACCAGAGCGATAATAGCAACGATGGACAGGACGGTTGCGACTTGGGCAGCGCTTTAATTCATCAGGTAATCTTGGGAGGAGCGAATAGAGTATCGCAAGATAAAGTCAGGCTACCCCTCAAGCCAGTAAGCCTATGAAGAGCGTGCCTCAAACCGTATGTTGAAGCAGATCAAACCCCTTTCGTCCTCAAAAGAGGGATTCTTGGGGTCTATATCCGTCTTATACGCCGTACGATGTGCCCAACGACATAATTTCCATTGGCGGAACTGTCGATGGGATTTGGAGAAACACACAAGGATTGCCACTCTTCGTCACGTCGACTATCCAAAAGTCTCACATGTCCCAGCAGCGCAAAACCAACACGTGTTCTGCGAGAGCTGCACTCCAATTTCTTTCTGAGATCAACGACGACATAATGAGGTGAAACCCTAGTGGTGGTTCAATATTTCTTTCTGATGTCAGAGAGCATGATGGTGTGAGTGATAGAGTTACATATGAGGCAAGCAAAGAAACCCACATGCCACTGACGATATACTTCTATTGTCCCGAGTACCCGCGGGTGTGGCCCGAATTAGGTTGCGTGCTGCAGCTTGCAGACGTGCTGCGCAACGGTACCAAATGTCATGCTGGACGCAGGAGGGCAATGTCGAATCGATACTGGACGAATCATAATGCTGCGTAGAGCCGGGGCAACGGATCTGTTATGTATCATACTGTCCTGCACTGTACAACATATTACTCTGCCGGGACAGTTGTCATGGCTGTGACAAACTATTTCGTCCTCGTAGGGCTCATTATCTTACGTCTTACGTTTCCTAGGATTTGTTTACTTTGGTTTGGGAAGAGTCGGGACGAGACTTACTAGAAGAACTTTAAGACCTCGTAAAGCCCCGAGAGTTCACCGCCTATCCGAAGCGAACCAACCCTTTTTTTCTATATAGGGGGTTATGCAATGATACGATACACATAAGCGTCTAGGTTTGGCGTACCTACATTTTACCTACATTAGTATGTAGTTAGTCGGTAGGAGATTGCTGAGAGTATCATTACACAACTTTCGGCATAAGCGAAAGGGTGGTGGGTTAGACGACAGGCTCATGTACGGTTGCATCCGGATTCTTTATCTGCATCTGCATCTTGATTAAAGAGTCTTCTAGATATCAATAGTAAAGAGCACTTTGGAAAAAGGATGTCGTAAGAATCCGGTAATCCATTCATTAAAAGAATGCTTACAACCACTTATACACATAGACAAAACGAAAAAACAAGGACCTAAAAACAAGTTATTATTCGGATTAATTCATTACAATGAATAGCCTGTTAATAGGGGTTTGATCACGGACACTGTGAACTTAAAGAATATGAGCGGTTTATGGAAAAAAGGGGATGATACTATTATTCTTCCCCAACAGACCAACAATGAAAAGTTTTTCTAGCCTGCAAATAAGAAATTTGCATTACTTGCTTTAGATCAACTAGACTATTAATGTACATAGCCGATGAGTTTTACTATCTAATCGGAGCGACGTGGTGCGCGAAATTAAGAAAAGAAGAAAAGAAGAAGAAAAAAATTGCTAGTTCAAAAAGTGGTTCATTGCCCGGCGATCGAGTAGAACATACGGATCTGTAGATATTCAGCCCGGCGTTCATGTACCCTACAGCTTAACAAAATAAGGGAGATTACTTGCAGGTCCAGATGCGCCCGGACATTTTTTTTTTTCTTTTTTTTCAAGAGCGGCCTCGGCCCCTTGTACTACCATGCACGACCTCCCACGCTTGCCTTGTTTAATATGCCATGATATGTTATGTACAATGTATTGCAATTGTACAGCAATAACCCAAATCATAATGCATATGTACATACATTTAGATAGGCACTAGATGAGAAAAAGGGAAATCGGCATTCTATTCATTCTATTCCCATTGTGCTGGGAAAGAGAATGCAACCGTATAAATCAGGATGTAAACGGCCTACTTATCCGGCATAGTTCTAGGTTCTAGGTGGTCGCTAATTCATTTATTTCGCAATAATCAAATCATTCACAAAGGCGAGTAATACATATGTACGTATATTTAAATACATAGTTACATTGATATATTGATGTACATCCATATATATTGATATGCACCATAGACTAGTAGGTGGTAATTATTCAATACATGTACATATATGTAAGTCAGAGACATGTAAGCAAGTACTATCGACACACGTTACCTACATAACCCTACATAACCTCTACCGCCTACGACCGCCTCGTCTTCTGGTTTTGACCGGGGGTTTCTCGGTGATGAATGGCTGCCGGGCTGGCGCTGATGCTGCATCGATAAAAAAAGACTGAATTGAAAGGCAAAAGGACAGGGGAGTACCCAGTCTTCGTAGATCCCCGTAGCCCCGCCCGTAATCCACGTTCAAAGCCAAGATTCCAAGCCTTCATTATCCGCTATTAGCAGCAATCATTCCCACAGTGTCGTCACGCACGGAGTACGGGGGTCACGGTACGTGCTACGGTACGTACATCTCGGGTGAGTCCTAGGGATCTTTTTTTGCTAGGTTTAATGTATCAAATGTCGCTATGTGGTTCGTTCGTTAGCTCTGACTAAACTTAAATGACAGGTAGGTACGGTACTACTTAGGTACTACATCTTAGTATGTACAACCGTGAATGTATGATAGGGAAGTCGCCATTTGCCTTTTTTTTTCATTATGTATAATATGTTTAAGTACCTACAATTAGAACCAGTTAAGTTGCGCATACCGCCTATTTCTAACGCTTGGTTCTCTGTTTCCCAGTAGTTTCCTTTTCCCACCGCTCCAGAGTTACGCCGTCTGGCCGTGTGGTGATCAAAATTCTTTTTTACTTAACCTAGTACCTGTTTTCTACTTATTTACTTATTCTACCTAGTGTAGTATCCCACAGTTCCTAGAAAGAGGTATCCACATGCAAACAAACCATCAAGAACGCAGAACCAGATCCCGTAGCCTTTGGGTCATCCTCATAGGGTCTTCCCCTCCCCATTCCCGATTCCTGAATTCTCAGTTTCTAGTTTCCAGTTTCCATTTCTATCGCCTCTTTCTCCCACCTTCTGCTGAGAATCTTTATTTCCCAAGTAGCCCGTCGTTGAGTCCTTAGGGTTCAAGGTCGGGACTCACATTACCTCACTGCCTCTTAGACATTTGCGATCCGACCTTGGTACTTCGTTCAACCAATATCTAGTGTATCTACGTCTCCCTTATTACACAGATACAGACCCAGACACATACACGGCAAACGGCAACGCCTCGACGTCATATTTTAGTGACGGCCAAGAGTTTCCAAGACCCCTAAGCCTCTATGCTCAGCTGAGCCAATTTTATTCTACCGCTCGAGGGAAGATAATCTTTTTTATTACAGACAGACGGACTATTATTGTTTAACTCTGTCTCGGAGTCATAATTCAATACTTCAATAACTCAACACAATTGCCACCCACTTAAGACTTCGCCGACTGCCACTTTTCTACCTGGTTACCTTCCTTGGGAGCAGATACGAATCAGCCCTTCACCCTTTCAAAGCCTTCTTCAAATCTTCGAATACTATTCGCGACATCATGGGACGACAATTATAGCGAAACGGTCCTTAGGGACAAATACCACAAATCTTCTTGTTGGGGACTTGGTCTGCATTCTGTAGCCTCCGAAATATTCGACAAAAACATTAAACAAGATTCTCTTAACTAGCCACATTTCCACCATAAATACCGCATTTTACGAAATTAAGACAGCACGCTGTAAGGGACTGTAGAAAGGTGTACCTTGGAGACGTACCAATTGACCGACGGTACATCCAACGATTTTGAACTGCGCAAAGTTCCTAGATTGTATACAAAATCACAGTTATTATCACCGTCAGTATGGCGAACGATTTAATTCACGACTCGACCGGCGCGAATCTGCTGGCTTTCGCCGCGCGTGGGGCGGGCATGCAACATGTACCGGAAGACGAGGCTGCGGCTGAAGTTGACGAACCTCCCGATAATAGACGTTCACGTCCGGAGGCCCAATTTAAGCGGAGTGTCATACGAAAAACAACGGACAATTCCGAATCTCTTTTAACGAAAGCCCTTCATCATTCAGAGGAGGATACTATTAATTTGAGTTTCGACTCATCACGGCGACGTTCAATGAATAGCAACGTCAGCCTCGCATCTACTGCCGACCTTACAAGCGACACTGGCTTTACAAGCCCCGCGCGCACAAACACACCTAGTCCGCCACCACCTGTAATATCACTTCCACGGTTGAACACGGACCTATATTTCGATGCGAAACCCAAATTTACTCCACATCGGAACCCCCAACAACCCATGCACGTGGCCGCTTTGAGTAAGCCAGTGGGAAGCAATGGGCTGCCAAAGGATCCTGCAGTAGAAGCTTTGACCAAAAAGCGCTGCATTTCATTCGCGTGTGGACAGAAATCTGATACTACGAAACCACCATCTCTGCAGTCAGTTGAGTCCAAGCCACCAGTAAACGAGAAGCCGCAGAGGAAATCTTGCATAAAATTTGCATGTCCTGCAAAGCTAGCTCCTCGGACACCGCCGACGCAAGATACACAGCAGTCCGTACTCACTTCAGCTATTGCATCACTGAAGGAAAGCAATGGTTCTCCTATTACTGTGCGTAAGCTTCGGTCGTCTTCCGCTACACGCGGGCGGCCGCTTAGGTCATTAACCCCGCGGCCGTCATCACGAAGCCCAATGCCAGCTCGGTCGGCCAAGTATTTGACCGCGAACCCAAATGATTTGATTAGCGAGTCTTCTCGTTTTCACGAGTTTGCTAGTGACGAGCCGCAAGAGGAGGATTGGATCCGTCTGAATCTTCCGCCACCTGGCCGTCGATTAACTATTAACGATACACTTAAGAAGGAAAATGAGATTCGGCGGTTAGGAAAAGAAGCCGAAGAGGAAGAATTGGAAGAGGAGGAAGATGAAGAGGCGGAGGAGCTAAACGACGACGAGGATGAAGAGGAAGAGGATGAAGAAGACGGAGTGGACCTCCCGGATGAGATCATGGAGGAAGATGAGATAGACGACGGGTATGAGGTCGACAATCAGTCGGGCTATGGATCTGATGACGACTTTTCGGATGGTTACAATACCGACAACGAAATCGGATTTGCTGATTCAGATGATGATGACGATGATGGTGGAAATCTGGATTTGTGGACTCCTAGTCGTGGTCCGGTTCAAAACTCCGGAAATACGCCTATCTTCCGTCGACTATCTATGACGGGTAACCGGTCCGATTCATCATCGTCTTCCGACATGCCCAGCCCCCCGACTAGGACATCACGAGAGAAGCCTCGTCGGATCAAGATGCGACCTGGTACACCAGAGTTGCCCGATAGTACTGATTTCGTTTGTGGTACGCTGGATGAGGACCGTGCGCTAGAGGATGCTTATATCTCATGTATAGCCGCGAGGCGACGCGAGAAGCTTCATCCAATTCCTCAAGATATCGATCCAAGCTTCCCGACGTCCGAGCCGGAAGATGAGGATATTGAACTTGATATCCCTGTCCGCGAGAGTGATGGTCACCTATCTGAGGACCCGTATGACATTGAGAACGGTGCTGAGCGACGAAGAAGAAAGATCGATCAGATATCGCCTCGACGATATCATTCTCCCCCACCTAAGCGTCACCACTCCCCCCCAAAGCCGCGAGGCCGATCGCCCAAGCGTCTTTTCGACGGGGGTTCACCTCGTCTCCCCGTCTCCCCGGCTCCAGGTCCTGTGGTACAGTCCCCTCCGTCATCATTGGTTCACGATGCGAACCGTGGAAGGCATGAATTCAAGAGTCTTGCTTTTCGGCCTGGATTGACGCATACTAAGTCACTCCCACGAGCTCCTGCTATGTTCCCGCATCATCTCAAGGGCCATCGTCGACCGGGCAAGGCTTCGGGTGCTACAACGAAACGTCACGTACGAGGTGCGATTGACATTGTCAAAGGCCTTGAGCAGAAGCGGCAGCGCCGGAAAGAGAAATTCAAGGAGAAATATTTTCAGAAACACTGCAACAAGGCGCGAAAAGGGCAGGTTGTCGAGAAGAAGCCTCAGCCTGGCCAGGGCGCCGAGAGGATGCGAGAGATCGGATTACTCATGGCTGGGAAGCTAGGCCCGGACCAGTTCGTCCTGTCCATCTAGTGGAGGCTTTGCTACGGCTACTGAGTGCAGGGTTGCATTGTTCACTATATAACCCTTCGTTGCATCTATTTTTCTTTTATAGACGGACTCGGTATCATTAGTACTGAGACCGTTACTGTACATAGTTTTTATTTTTCTCTCGTTCTTCACGAACTTTGGCGGGTCGATATTCTCGCGGGACAATGCATACTTCGCATTTCACGGCACAGGGGCAGGCAGCATTGGTCATTCATGATACCACTTGGGAACGGCACATCAAGCATTAACGGCGGCGGCGATCTGATTATATACTTGAAATTGAACATATTTGCTGATATATGATTGTCTGTTTGATCGTGCACTTCACTTGGATATGAAATGGATGAAATAGCTTATGATGATGATGATGATGATGGTGATTATGTGATGGGATGGAAATTCAATATAGTATACACTGCTCTGCTCATACTGTCTACATTAGATACGATCTTGCGCGCAATAGTACATAGATTTGTGAAATGATGCCAAAGCCCGATGGGTTTCTAAAACTTGCATACTGCATGCAGATGCAGTTTTCATTCGGGATATGTTCGTTGTTAGCGGGTATCGGTGTCACCGGTATTCGTGATAAACATAGGTTTAATCATGACTTTTTACTGATGCTCATAGCAAACTTGCGATGTACTGAGTCACGTTTATACTGTATGCTCTCATGAGAAGTTTTGATTGGGCTTACCTCATGATATTATTTTGGTGATATCAGGTGGTTTTTGTCAAAATATTTTCCGCATGGTCTTGTAGAAATCTGATATGTGGCTCCATAAATTCGCATTGGCGGGTACGTACACGTTGTCACCTAATCGGGGCCGTATGTACCTCCATACATTTAGATACCTAGCCACTTGTGGCTAGCGAATGTGGCTTTTATTGGCCGCAAGTGCTTCCAGGTTGTCCTTAACATCATTCAATTTTCTTGGGGACGGCCTCGGACCCTATATCATTCATCCATTGTCCGCCCATCTCCGCGAACATCCTACGACGACAGCACACCTTCGATTCAAGAGTGCATTCTTACGTCTACCAAATTCGACTACTTTTGTTTAATTACAGCTACCGAATACCGTTAAGATGTGGATTGTTCAGTGGTGTTAGTTCCCTTCTTAGCTCTTGCGAGTCTTATCAAAACGATCCGATCCTTCGGAATGGATGGTCATAGCTGACGTTTTTTTTTGTCTGCAGTCTACGATGTCCTCTCGTCGCTTGGCTTGATGAACAAGCATGCTAAGCTGTTGTTCCTTGGCCTCGACAATGCCGGAAAGACGACTCTATTACATATGTTGAAGGTTCGTTAGTGATTCCGTTTCTCCCCGCGCTCCGAGTCGGTGTCCTATATCGTACCTGAATAATCTCTCGAATCTGCTGGAGCTTGCGGGGGTTTTTTTTTATCATGGACGAGAATGCTAACAAAATGGAATTACAGAATGACCGAGTTGCCATCCTACAGCCCACCCTACATCCCAGTATGTCGCTTACAGCTATACGATAATTGTTGAGCGCACGTGTCAGTATACTAACATCACGCTAGCATCCGAAGAGCTTGCGATTGGAAACGTGCGCTTCACTACCTTCGATCTAGGTGGTCACCAGCAAGGTATGTTTTATGGCGCTGCTATGACGTGTTTAATTTCAACTGACAGGATGATTCCGTCTAGCCCGTCGGTTGTGGAAGGACTACTTCCCGGAAGTCAACGGAATTGTCTTCCTAGTCGACGCCATGGACCACGAGCGTCTACCCGAGTCTAAGGCCGAACTTGACGCCCTTCTGTCAATGGAGGAGCTCGCTAAGGTCCCTTTTGTCATCCTCGGAAACAAGATCGACCACCCGAATGCCGTGTCCGAGGATCAGCTCCGCCACGAACTGGGCTTGTATCAGACGACTGGAAAGGGCAAGGTCCCATTGGAGGGAATCCGGCCCATTGAGGTCTTCATGTGCTCCGTGGTGATGAGACAAGGTTCGTCGCACCAGACTCCTCACTTCCGACGTAGTTCCAGGGGATCAAAACTAACATCTGATAGGATACGGTGAGGGTATAAGATGGCTTTCTCAGTACGTCTAGACGGCAATTAAAAGGAGGGAGAGTAGCGTGTGGCGATATATGAGACGAGATCAGGGGACAAGACGAGCATGCGAATTGAAACGATGCGATGGCCGTCTGGGAAACAAACGGAGTTCTTTGACAGCATACTACCTTACTACCATACCGAAGTTCGATGTTTTCCGGGATATTTCTTTGGAGTCAATGGCTAGAGGCATTTGCCAGATCGCAATAATGAATTGAGCATTACCCACTTCTCACCACCCGAGTACCATTAATTGTTCTTGGGTCTTTTGCACATTTATGAACGAGAAGTCTTCTGCTGTTATTTTGGTTTTTATATATAGCGACGTGTTCAGAAAATCAAGTCAACCCGTATTACTGCACTATTTCTCGCATTGACGACCTATCAGCTTTGGCTTTATTAGTCGCTTAACAACATAATCCCTACGGATAGGCTTATTAGAACTGCTAACTCGGCTTTGACAGCTTGATCATAGGCATATCAGTGTTACCTAAACCTAGATGGCGCCGAGGTCCCGATAGTCTTCCCAATAAATTACCTGTCTAGGTGCTTAAGGGTTTCCGAGTAGCCGGTGTCCAATGCGGCTCGGTGAGGCTCATTCATTACCCAAACCCCCGGGAAATTAGTTGACGGCTACACGGATAGCTCGAAGGTAAGGGGGTTTAATACATAGCCTTTAACATTTGGCCGTATTCACGGAATATCGGCCAAGATATTAAATCAAAGCAAATTGGACCCTGATATGGGGTCTGAATAGCCTCAAAGATGTTCAATTACCCACTCAACCCGTGAAATTTCAACTTTGGTTGGCCGGAATAGGCGAATGTCGTTTTTTATGGGCCAATCAGATTAGGGAGTTTTCAGGTTACCTGGGCTATATGTATTATATGTTAGGTACTTGGGTACCATGGCTGGGTACTTATCAGGGTATTCAGAATCAATTCTTCTTATTTCCAGTATCGTCGACGTCTCACGACATACAATAGTATCGGTACAGAATATGGTGCATAGCATAACTTAGACCTCGGCGTGGCCAGAAAACCGCGGGTTATCGGGATTCTTCTAGAATAATATTAACGTTGCTGCAGCTTGCAGCGGATGTCTCCGCGCTTTCAGCTCAACAATTTTCTAAAAGTACCAGAGTACCTTACCTAACCTACATCGTATGGATGCATAAAGCAAACGGGCGCTCGGACCAATAAAATTCATTTATACCATGTAGTAATGTACAACGCGGCGCGGGACGGGTTTCGACGTCATTTCGCCAAAGTTACACATGTCATTCCACCCTAGATGCTGCGACTGGAGGCACTCGTTTTTCCCCATGTCTTTTTTTTGAAGTACCACTGGTCATAACTCGCGAGATTACCATGCTACATATTTATTTAATGTATTAGTGCGCTATACAGAGTTTCGTTAGTTATTTCTAAACCGAGGTACACATTCATCATCTCTTTCTCTCTCTCCCTAATCCCGCTAGGATCGCCGCTGCATATATACATACCTACATATTATATACACCATTAATCATTATAATAATGTCCATTGGCATCGCACGTCGAAACGGCGAGCATGGCATGTGAATCCCCCTCCTCCTCTAAACCTAGGGTGACCTTCCTTACTGGTAGGCACCATCACAACTATGGCTTTCCTCCCGAAGCTTTCGATTACACGAATTTACCTGACGCCGATCGCGAGTTTCTCCCGCCCGAACATCTTGCCGCCTTCGCCGCCGCCCTGAGCGCTCCCGAACCTGCGAATAGCGCAACCGATGATACCGCGTCGTTGAAAAGCCCTACTTTAAGTATAAGAAGCCCAGGTAGTCTAGACCTAACACGGTCCAGCTCAGTAGCATCTGTCGATACTGCGGCCCCCTTTTCCGAGGGGGCTGCGATCCAGAATGGCTCCCAGAGCGGCATGTTTATCACGGCGCAGAACGATTGGGCTCCTGTGAACGAAAAAGTATCCAAACACGGCCGTAGAAAGAAGAGGAAAAAGACGACGCTAGGTCGTCGCACCGTAGACGAGACTCGGGAAGGTTACTTATACGGGCTGTTAAAATGGCCGTTCCTCTTCTTCGTGGGCATGTGGATTATAGGACTAGCTGCATCATATCTATGGACGCGATTCTACATTTTCGTATACGAATACTTCGTCGCCTGGCGAGGGAAACGAGAAAAACTGCGCCAGAACATGAGAGCTGCTAGTAGTTATCGGGAATGGGTCAAGGCGGCTAAAGAGCTGGATTCATTCCTAGGAAACTCGCAATGGAAGGAAGAAAACGAGTTCGCATACTACGACTCTAAGACGGTCCGGCGCGTCTGGGAGCAACTCCGCAAACATCGGAGAGCTGCCGAAGCGCAGGAAGCAAAACTGGCGGGTGCGCCTGGGTATGAAAAGGGGGACGTGTCCGGGAAGGCTGAACATCGCAAGACGATCGAAGAGCTGAAGGCTTTGACGGAAGCCTGCGTGAAGAATAACTTCGTTGGAGTAGAGAATCCCAGGCTGTACAGTCAGACATATTACGGGACTAAAAACTTGGTTCAAAATTTCGTAGATGAAGGTTCGCTAGGCCCCCTTTTTGAAGTCCATAACTGGTAACACGTTGATATAGCAAAGCTAACATAACTACCTTAGTGGAGAAGAGCACACGCTTCCTGGTCCATACCAAGCAGCTATCGTTTGAAGAAAAGCGAGCAATATTCAAACGCATGCACGCAAACTTCGGGCGCACTGCGTTATGTCTATCCGGCGGTGCCTCTTTCGCATACTACCACTTCGGCGTTATCAAAGCGCTACTCGACGCAGACTTACTACCAGACGTCATCACGGGCACGAGCGGTGGCGCTTTAGTAGCATCTCTCGTAGCGACACGGACTAACGATGAATTGAAAGAGCTATTAGTGCCCGCGCTGTCGCATAAGATCAAAGCTTGCTCCGAGCCGATCAGCACCTGGTTTCCGCGATGGTGGAAGACGGGCGCACGATTCGATTCCGTCGATTGGGCGCACAAGAGTAGTTGGTGGTCCCGTGGGTCGACGACGTTTAGGGAGGCGTACCAGCGCACGGGAAGGATACTCAATGTTAGTTGCATTCCGGCCGATCCACACTCGCCCACCATTCTCTGCAACTACCTCACGTCGCCCGACTGCGTCATCTGGTCTGCTGTCTTAGCATCTGCCGCCGTTCCTGGGATTCAGAATCCCGTGGTCCTCATGATGAAGAACCCAGATGGGTCACTAGTTCCATATTCTTTTGGTCACAAGTGGAAAGATGGCAGTTTGCGAACAGATATACCTATCAAGGCACTTAATCTACACTTCAACGTCAATTTCACCATCGTCAGCCAAGTCAACCCGCACATATCCCTGTTCTTCTTCTCGTCCAGAGGCACAGTCGGATCCCCCGTAACCCACCGCAAGGGCCGCGGCTGGCGGGGTGGATATCTAGGCTCCGCAACAGAACAGTACGTAAAACTAGACCTGGCAAAATGGCTCAAGGTCCTTAAACACTTGGAACTCCTCCCACGGCCCCTCGGCCAGGACTGGTCGCAAGTCTGGCTGCAGCAATTCAGCGGCACCATTACGCTCTGGCCACGGACACAAGCCAGCGACTTCCTGCACATACTATCGGATCCCGACATGGATAACCTAGCGCGTATGCTGCACGAGGGCCAGCAGAGCGCGTTCCCGAAGCTCAAGTTCATCGGGAATAGGTTAAAAGTCGAGCGGCTGATTGAGCAGGGCAGACGGGAGACGCTGGCGGGGGTGAGGAGAGGCAGTATCGAGAGTATTATCGACGAGGAGGATTTAAGGGGGTTACTGAGAGGGGGTGGCGGGACTACAGATGATGAGACGACTGAGGGGACGGAGGATGTGGATGAGGAAGCTGTTGAAGATGGGGATGCGGGGGTTATATTTGAGAGTGTGGAGGGGGGTTTGAAGACGGATTAAAAAAATGATGCTGTGAACCATGGTTTTTCGTGTTTTAATTTGTTTCTCTCGGTCAAGCGTGAGGTGCATAGTGTTGGGTATGTATACATAGGTAGGAGTTGGTCGATGATTCCCCGTGCCTACCTACATAGGTTGAAGAAATAAAAGGGGGAGTGGCTAGGTACCTAATTAGCATTAGTTAGATTTGGCTGGGGTTCTCTATTAGATCTAGGCTAGGGACTTGTAATCATAGGGAATATAAGGAGTTCAAATATAGTGAGTTCTCTATATATGATCAGAAATATATCATTTATGATAACTTAGGCTCATCCATCTCCTTTGTGTGATAACATTTCGTTCGCCCTAGATTCGGTGTTAGTTACCTAGGTAAGGGTATCTTAAGTCCAAGCAATATATTGGTGAGGTTTGATTACGGCATAAAGAAGAAAAAAAGGAGTCGGATTGCCATCGGCTCGGAATAGCGCAATTATGGTCAGATTATGCGGCCCGGAAATTACCACAGGTTCTGATAGAGGAGTCATATATAGAGAGGGCTTGAAGCCACCGCGGCCCGTCCCGCCACGCCTTATGCAACAGGGTACAGTATAAGCCAACGGTAAAACGCTACGGCTATAAGGAAGGGCTCTGTTATATGGCAAGACGACGCCGTCCAAGCAAGCCAAAGAGTCGCCGACGCATCCAAGCGTTCATATGTATGAGCAGGTTGCCAGTACGGCGTGGGGGGTAATAATAAAGATAGCTAGCCGTCGTGCTTGGTTTCATATGTGGAATGGGGGTTGCTGTCGTCATTGACTAACATCCTGATACTAATACTCAGAATTCTAGACCATGAGGAGGGGCCGTGCTAGACATTCTTGTCCTGCATCCAACCATACACCGTATGTGGTCAACCGCAAACGATTATCCACTTGCAAAGTCTATTCTGCAAGAGTCCCCCTAGTTCTAGGATATAGATTTGCGACGCCTTGATTCGACGGGTACCTGCGATGTTAGCTCGTCATGATCGAAAAAAAAAGAAAAGAAAAAGAAAAGGGGACAGGGCGAAAATTGGAGAGACAATCCTTGCCACTAGGCGTCAGTCCCCCGGTTTTCAACTCTTAGAGGAACACTGCGTCTGCTCGTGTAGCTTTGCTCTACGTGTACGCGTGTAGTCACACTCGGCTCTTCTCTTGTTCCCAGTGTGTTTGGGAGTACCAGTTTGTAGGTATAAAATCCCCCGTCCACGGACGGTAAACGAAGTATACCTCAAACGTTCTAAGTCTATCTAACCCCTAGATCCTTGCCCCCTTTCGGATCTACTTTCATCTAGATTACGTAGTTCTCTATAGATCGCCTAACCTAGGTAAGTACGACAAGCTTATTAGGCCGGGCATATGATTGACTTACCGGCAAGCAGCTACTGTATATCTAGTGGATAATCGGCGGATCGACAAGTGGTATTGGTTGTGCTACAACATGGCGCTTACCAAGAAAGAAACCGAAACGGACGGAGCCGCCATGAAAGCCAAATACGACCCAGAGTTCACAGACAATGTCATTGCCGCTACGGGTTCGAAGGCCCATCCTCGTCTAAAGGAGATCATGCCAAGCCTGCTACGGCACTTACACGACTTTGCTCGGGATGTAGACTTAACAATCGCAGAGTTGATGGCTGGGATTGAACTAGTACGTTAACCTGACACCGGCCAGAAATCCAAGAGATTGTTGACATATCATCATAGATAAATGAAGCGGGCCGTATGTCTACCGACAAGCGTAACGAGACGGGTTTGCTATGCGATATCCTGGGCTTAGAATCTCTTGCGGACGAAATCACATCTAAACTGCTCCTCGAAAGCAGCGAATCTAGCGCGGTTACGCCTTCGACCGTTCTCGGGCCTTTCTACCGAAAAGACGCGCCACTTCTGCCCAACGGTAGCAGCATCGTATACACAGCACCGGACTCGTCCTGGTACCTACAAGCCGAGAGGTGGCTAACGCACCTGTCGGGGCGAGTGCTGAGCGCGTCGACGGGGAAGCCAGCGCCAGGTGCCGTCGTAGACATCTGGCAGGCGGCTCCGAACGGGCTATACGAGCACCAGGACCCGGCGCAGCCGGACATGAACCTACGAGGACGCTTCCAGACAGACGAGCTGGGCCGATATGCGCTATACTGCGTGCGCCCGTCCGCGTACAAGGTCGCACCGGACGGGCCCGCCGGTCGTCTGCTCGAGCTGCTAGACCGCCACCCGTACCGGCCTGCACATATACACTTCGTGATAACGGCGCCGGGGTTCCAGACCTTGACCACGCAAGTATTTGACCGTGAGGACATATATATTAAAGACGATACAGTGTTCGCCGTTAAGGATGAGTTGCTGGTGAGTTTTGAGCCGCGCGAGGGAGACGAGAAGGCCCGCTGGACGGTGAAGTATGATTTTGTACTGAGCGAGGCGTGAGAAATAGATGGATTATTTGTGTTGGTGGTTAACCTTGTAGGGGAGAGGCGTGCTGGTACTGATGTTTGCATAGTCCCTTGCTGTTTCGAGGGGTTTGTTTCGGGTGTTTTAATAGGAATAGGAACATTAGTATGTCTATCAGAAGGAACTGAATGGCTAGGTAGTATTAGTTCGCTTTTACCTTATAGGTATGACGTCCACCCTCAACGGGATAGCTATCACTATACAATGATGAGTGTCATGAGGCTCTCTTATTTTGTGGTGAGAATTAAAGAGACCAGCAAGGTTAGATAGACCAGCTGTTTGGTCTATACTGATTCTAATAGTCTTTACGTCACACATAAATCTGGGCTATTTAGATACGAATATCTACCTAGCCTAGCTAGGTATACCCTTCTCAATATTGTGTGTATAAATGAGAGACGATAATAGTATTCGGGCTCATAGTGCTTCAATAAGTATGAACATAAATCACCAATAGGACAAAACGATAGGCAAGAAAGGTAGTTCTAAACTCTATTATGAACTAGACGAATAAGATGTAAACATGCACACCTAAGGTGCGGATCATAAGATTGAACGAAAGGTGAAAAGATGATAGTTACCTAAGCTCTAAGGTTGATTCTTATAACAGGTACGTACCGAAAAAAGGCAGATGACAGGGTTTAAAACGTGGCTGCAGCTATAACGGCTCTTGCCGCTAAAAGAAAAAAATTAAAAAGGGTTCCCCAACCCCAACCTGAAAAAGTCTAGGGCAAGCTGGTGGCAGCTACCACCCGAGTGCCCCGGCAAGAAGATGCAATTGTGGCCTTGCCTTGCTTTTTCTAGAACACTAAAAGACCTTTCGTCATCAAAGCAAACGATAATAAACTGCCTAACAACATACTTTAAACATATACCTTAGCTACACACCTAATAAAAACTTTGTAACCTTAGATTAGGTACCTATTATTATTATTCATGATGTCCATTTAAATATGTTGTTTAGTCCGCCAAGGTAATCAGGAGTCTATTTACTTCTACCAAGTTAATCAAACTTCCCTACGACAATGGCGAAGCTCATCCCTACCGCGAAGATCACCCTCACCTATCCTCTATATTCATGCGACTTCGATCCGACAGATCCCAACCAGCTCATCGTCGCAGGAGGTGGCGGTCCGGGACGAAATGGTGTGGGGAATAAAATAGTAAGTAATCACACACGATCATACTCTAGCTTTTTTTATATTTCGATGTGTTAACTAGGGGATATATTAGACCGTTCTCAACACTTCTAACCCTGAAGAACTATCGGAAGTCGCCGAACGTGAACTTAACAAAACCGAAGACAACGTCACGACACTCGCCATCGGTCCTCGAAGTGATAAGTCCTTGACCGTATTTGCCGGCGTCAATTCAAGCCCGGAAGATATTAAGAAGGGGAAGAATGACCATTTTCGTATTTTCGATATCAACGAATCCGCTAAATCGGCCAAGACTAGCGGTGTAAGGGTTTCTATTTCCGAGGTCGCGCGCCATGCGCTGTTCGTGCATAAGGATACAAGCGCCTACCAAAGACTCCTCCGACTGTCCCACCCGTACGAAAACCTCCCACAATTTGGTGCCGCCGCCACAGGACTGTCCAAGAAACCTGAGATTGCGCTTTTCGATGTACCATGCGAAGGAGGTGGGAGGTGGAAACCGAGGGGTAGGCTGGATATCCCTAAAGAAGCAATGGACCTAGACGTCGTTCAGACGGGGCCCGATACATACCAATTGGCATATTGCGACGATCACGAAATCTTTACCGTCGAAGTATCCAAGGAGGAAATATCGGAGCCCAAATGCGTATATACTATTACCCCAGATGAAGGTGACGCAGCTAAGGCGTCGTTCAAATCCTTGCGCTACCTGACACCTGGCTTCCTGATCACAGTAGTCAACAAGCCCAACTCCCAAGGAGTTGCGCTACATGGTTACCGTCTGCCTCTGAATGAGCAAGATGATGCTCGTCTAGCGATCAAAGCCAGGCTCCCAAAGGGCGTCTCTAAGGCAACAGGTCTTGCAGTGAGGAATCTATCACCAACGTCGTCCCCGACGGATGAGACGGGCGAGACCCAATTCGTAGTTGCGGTTGCAGGGAACGATGCTTCAATATCGCTCTTCACGTTAGAACATAAATCCGCTGCTAAGGTAGTCCTCCTTGCAGATCTGGCGCCGTTCCAAGTGCTCAAAGGTGTTCATCCTTCAAATATAACCGGGCTCTCATTTTCTCCGTTTTTACCGCCGAAATCAGCGTCAAAAGGGAGCACCGAACTTACCGTCAAGCTGGCTAGCGTCGGTGTCGGTTTCACGACAGTAGTACACAGCATACCGCTTAAGAGGCATGTTGATAAGTCTGTCGCGAAAGAAAACGGAGGGCTTTCGAGCCCGTCGCGTTACGTAGTTGCGCTGAAATCTAAGGGCCAATCACCCGTCACACCTATCGCACTTGTTACAATTGTGGTACTTCTCCTCGCTTTAATCGGACAGGTCTTGCTCGAAGCGAAAGATATCGGCAATCCCGTCCTCGGGATCAGGCCTTATCTACCTACGTCGTGGACGCAGCCCTTGCGCAAAGTCCCCGCGACCAACGAAAAGTCGATCAAGGATTTATTATCGGACGCTAACGCACATCATACCCAGCCGCTTGTGATTCGACATGACGAAACTGGGGAAGCGGACCCTCGAGGTCTGCCCCCTCTGCACGTCGGTATCCACGACGAAGAGGTCCACGGCCCCGCCACATCGTGGGAAAACCTAAGTCCCGACGAACAGCAGCTCTGGAAGGATCGCCTAAAGAAGACGGGCCATTGGTTCGAGGATATGGGCGAGTCCATCTTCAAGGGCGTGCTTTTCGGTGAGATAGGCGGGGCTATCGGAAATATAATCGGAGAGGCGCTATAGCGGTTTCTTCAATGTTACGCTACTACGTCTATATGTGGAAAATGAAACAAGGGAAGAAGGCCATGTCATGTTCATGAATCTTCTTTGAGATGATTGTTATGCTACGAAGAATGCAGGATGTATAATGTGATCTGTATAAAAGTCTGTTATTTAGCAAATATAATAATTATGTTCACCCCTTGTGTGCAATGGGAATGTGTATGAGCTTGACGGTCTGCTTTATTATGAAAGAGAAATAGGATGGCAAGCTCCAATGTCGTGGTGTTATACGGATGAAACTAATATAACCTGGATGCCTTTTTATAGCAGGTACTCTTGATCTTAGACAAGAGCGAATAGTTCTATCTCGCCATGAGATGTCCTAATCTGACGATCATCGTGAAGGTCCTGGACTTGGGAAGATGACATAAAGAATCCTCGGCTGAGTCTGGGGAATTTATAGAATATTGGATTTGATAGCCATTCTTGCGCGAACACGTCGCTGTCACCTCAATGGAGCTAGTGGGTAGTGACTATATAGATATTAGGTCTATACACGAATGATATATCCCTCACCCCTCCCCCTATTTTTAGATGGGAACATGGGCCAATACATGGCTATATGATGAATTAAACTCGTAGCTCTCACTCTGTGTAATGTGATCTCTGACATGTATATGGAAAGTAAACATGTATAGGATTGTTTTTTTGATAGTTAACTTACTTGAAAAATGAAAATGAAGTAATTCCCTACGATAATAGTACCTTTTTCTCAAGAATGGGAGTAACCACTTTCTGTAAGCCATTGTAATTTTAACACTCTATAGCCAATCTTCGCGGGGGTAAACGGGTTTGTATCCTATATGCTAACCTACGAGGTAATCTTATTATACACTGACGATATATAGTAAACCTTCTGACCAGCTTCAACTACTTCTTGTCTGTTAGTGCCTCTTTTAACCATATAATATCTTAACCACGCTACCAGCTACTTGTATAAATCAGGAGGGTCCTCAAGGATGGTGGGCTTGTTCTCTTAGAAAAAAGCTTACCCCTGTCTGACCATCATTTGCTCCTATAACGGAATCCTCCAGGGCACCCAGGGAACATTCGAATACGGCCGTGATAATAGGTTGTAATTAACCCAGGAAATATATTAAACATTATAACTAAATGGAAACTATGGAAAGTATCTATTTTTTTTCTCTGAATCTGGTCGCCGCCAGATTAGGTACCTCATATAGCATATGATGCTGTGTAATATATCTAGGTCCCCTTGGGTACCTAAGTTTATCGCAAATTGTTCCTCGAGAATATACATGAAAATACCGAAAATGAACGGGCTAGAAAAATGATCTCCAGTCGTGGTGCTAAGATCACTTGCTGTTCAATATTGAACACCGTCGATTCATCACCAGCTATATCGGCAGGCTCATTACTCGAACCTCCGGCTTAATAGTCGGAGTTTAGTTGATAACCCGGCTCCGCAGATCAATAGTGCAGCTTCAACGCGCGGCTCATCAGGTCCGGAGTCGTGTTGTTGATCTCCCGCAAATAGAAGTCGAGCGTCTGTTCCGGAACAGGCGGGCCTAAAACCGCTCTAACCTCAACGTCCATGCTGAACCAGATCTGCAGCATAACAAACAACCACTCCGTGTCCTTCTCATCCAAGAGCTCCATCGCCCTCGCGTACCGCAGCTTCGTCCGCACGAACTGCATCGGCCTGTTCTCGTCGAACGCAATCTCCCGGAGACCCAGCTTGCCGTGCTCGAACTTGACCGCCGCGACCGCTGGTGTCAGCCGGAACCGCCGCTCTAGGTCCACTAGGATCTCGGACAAGCCCGCGAGCCGGAGGGCGCGTCGGTCGACCCGGGTTAGCTCGTGGCTCCACCATAGGGCGGCTGGGCCGTGCAGCAGCGTCTCGAGCCGTTGCAGGATTTGCCGCTCGTTGGATGAGGCTGTGACGGGGTCTTGGAGGAAGGATTCGATGTGCTCGACGAAGAGGTCGACGTCGGTGAAGATTAAGGTATGGCCGTCGGACACCATGCCCGCACCCCGCTCGTCGTGGTGACTGGGGTTGAATCGGCCAATATCGTCTCGTTCGAGCTGGGAGATTGCTGAGATTCCGGGGGTATACTGGGGGGCCTGTTCAACGGGGTTTGGTTTTGATGCTTGCTGGATGGGCTGGGGAGTTGGCTTGTGGGCATCGGCGGATTCTTGTAGATGCAGTAGTATATTGGTTGCTTGCTTCGTAAGATCATCGATCTGAGTTTTGAGGCTATCTCTTTCTTGGGACAGGTAGCGGATCTGAGTAGCGAAGTATCGAGTCATATCGAGAACCACGTTGTGACCAGAGAGAGGTTCTAGCATGCATAAGAAAGGGGCGGCATCGGGTTTCTCTTCGGTAGTCTTAGTCTTTTGACTTGTATTTAGCTGAGGTCGAGGCTGTTTGACAGCTTGGTCATTGGCTAATTGATTGGCGAGCTCGCCAATGTCTTTCTTAGTGGATTGAGCCATCGCGGTCGAACCAATGTAGTAGACTTATTGAAGATGTGAAATTTTGAGGCCTGGTTTGAATTTTTACAAAGCCGTATGTGTGAAAAAAGGTGGTTTTAAATATAAAAAAGTCTTGAGGCAAGTGACTAAGTTGTTTGCTCAACTTATTAGATACTGAGATAGTTATTGAGGCCATCACCACGTCAGGTATCCATACCAGGTGCCAGCAATCGTCTAGCGGCAGCGATCTGGAAATAGGCTAACTTAAAACATACTCCTCACACCTGGAGGCTTCTTTATCGTTGAATATGACTGACTCATGGCGATTTCACGACGCTGTAAGAGGCAACGCTAGCTATTTTCAAGTTCAACGGCTAGATACTACTGTGAGGGCCAAATAGATGATTTGCTACTTAGATTAAGAGAATACCATCATAATCTCTATGTCAGGGAATATATAAAAGCGTGTTTATCTTTATTATGGTGCGTGAATAATGTAATGTTGAGCTGATAGTTTGAGAGCCATGGGATTGGTACGAAAGGAGATCACACATAGATACTTGCCTGGTTGAAGATGGGCTCATAGCAATACTGATTTTATTATATATATCCATATCTACCTAGGTAGTCCACACAGGCAATTCTTTAATATTCTCGAGTTAACTATATGCTAGACTCAGAGCTTTCATCTTCAGCAAGTCCCTTGCAATGATATGTCTAACCACATGTTCTTTAAGCAGCTCCGGAATACTATCTGTATTAAGGGCTAATTTTCTCTCGCATCTTTGCGTAAATATCCAAAGCTCATAATTACCTAAGTAAGGATAAATATTTAACAGGCTATCTAACATGATTACCAAGTGCAGCAGCACGGAGACTAACCCAGCCAGTGACGTGACGCTTCTATAAGCTAAGCGGTTGATCTTGTCATAGGTCCGGAGATACCTCCTCATCATAAAAGGGAGGATTGCATTTCAACTACGGATCTTGCTTTTGGCCGTGGTCTACCGAGAGAAAATATTGGTCGATGCTGGTATATCATTGGACCTTTGACCGCATCAGAACCAGTTATAGACAGGAAGCCGAACGACTGAGAACGAGAGGGGGTATCATCGGGGAGTATATATTGCTTGATAATATGTCGATGACGTTGACATAGTCTCAGATGCCGTAGTAATGGGCTGTTTATATTTTGCTTATTTTGGAGACACATGGGAGGGAGGGAGAGAGAGAGAAGAGAACCAGGACGTAGGAATAAGCATCATATGATTTGGTGTCTCTTTTTCTCCCCCGTCGTGCATATGCGAGTTTCGACTTCAGGGTCTCCATGTGTCTTCTTTATGCTACAGTAGTATTATAGTAGTTGGCCCTATCACTTGGATATTTCTCTAGGCGAGGGTATAACTGCAGCCGGTAAACGTATGTATGTCGCAAGGCTCGTATAACCCAGTCCTGTACATACTAAGCAGATCCCGACTCCTATCAGTCCCCATCCCCATCCCCATCCCCATCCCCATCGCCAGCTCCGCATTACCAATGATTACGACAGGATGGAGAATAATACAGACAGACATATTCGTCAGCCACACGTGCATGCTGCATACTACCATACGTACATATCTTAGCTGCCATGCGCACTATATTCCAAACTTGTAGCCACTCTCCACGCATCAGCTCTTAGTCACGAAGTGGTGGCGGCATAAGCCTGACTCTTCCGTCCTGCAGGTATCAAGTTCTAGAAACCATCGACTCGGTGTATTATTGGCGACGGTGAAGTTGCTCAAACCGCTCGGGTTGTTCAAGAAAAAACCAGGCCTATTACTACCCACATAGTTCCACTCGGAACTCACCAATGTGAAGTGGCACTTAAGGTCGGCGGCCAACAACGACGTCTCGTCACTTCTAGCCCGCGCAAACTCCTGCTGAGCGGAATACCAGTGTTCATCGATCGAATGACAGCGAATAGCTTGCCTCCTTAGACCTCGGGGTTTCTTGGTTCCGATTAACAAATGGTTGGCGGTCTAGGATTCTGCATGCGTGCGTGACCCTGCAACGCTGGCAGGTCGAGGCCGTTTCAACTTTTTGACTCTAGATCAATTACAAGAGACTCCCTTTTTTGTTGTGGTGGCGGCAATCTTCCGACCTGAGCTTGGCAGTTGAGATGGCGTCTAACGGGTTCTCTCCCGCGCTACACCGGACCCAATGAAGGATTGAGGCTCGTAACCCCTAGACCGCTTTGATTACTTCATCGATGCTGTTATGCTGTTATGCTGTGATGCTGTGATGCTGTAGGCTCTGCAGTGACTGCATACGGCTTAAAGCCTTAGGAGATCCAAAATTAGTAGCAGTGCGTTCTCATCCCCATCATCCCCATCAAAAGCTTTCCAGGAAGCTTCTCACCGGTTGCGGTAGTCGCTGAATCGCCGAATCGCTGAGAGGCTCTGTCTCGAATGTACAGCTGGCGAGCTAGCTCCCCTAGTTCCGCGACAGCCCTACGGACAGCATACCTAAACAGGTCAAGAAACCACGCCGTTACAGGACGACGCGCGGCGTATGCGTTTGATAGGTCACCTGTCACTTAAAGCTGTACCTACCTATCTCGGTAGTTATCGTTGTCGATTACATAGTAAGAAGAGAGAAATTTAACAACGTTCCCCCTTTTTTTCTTCTTCTCTCTCTTTCCTTTCGTGCGTAAGATGATCCCCTGGGGATTCGGTCTAGCTTATTACATATCGACATCTTACGATCCTTTAGTGAGCCTCATTCGCCTAATGAGGATAAGTACAAGGCATTCGGTTCATTCCGTGCGAGCTCCTAGCTAGCATGTGTGTCCTCGTATCTTAACAAACAAAATAAGTTGTGCCTCGGAACTTGAAAAAGAACCTACTACCCTACCGAGTAAGGGGATTGGGGTGAACGGCCCGCGAATGATTGATTTGGTGGATCGTTCTAACGCCAAAAGCAGGGGTCTGACCCATAAATGATATCTTTTCGGTTTGGTTCAGGCACCCCGTCATTCTGGATTGACATGCCCGTTTTTTTTTGTTCTGATCCACACGTGTTAGGACTGGGACCCCCATACACATGAATGCGTGGTAGTGTAGTGTGTGTATATGTATACGTACATACATACCTAGGTAGATGGTAGATGGCAGATATCTACTAGGTACTAATAGTATCTAGTTACCAAGTAGGTAGCATCTAAGATATCCGATCGAGACGTCCCATGTTGCTTGGTTTTGTCTATTGGGGGCTAAACCTGCCAATAAAAGCCAAGGATATAAGAGTATTATTCGTCTTGGATCTCCTTAAAAAAGTACAATCACAAGTGGGAACCTCGGACTTTGAGACCTTGCATACGGACGAAAAGCCCTATCTTCGCGAACTCGATGGGAGAGAAATACTACTTAGTACTGTATCCTAATGTACAGTAGCAACGATCTTGGTCGCAACCGGAGGCTTGGCCTTTGGGGGTTGAAAGACGCAGGGTTCTTTACGCGGGGCCGGGAGATGTTAAGTAATCAAGTTAATAATAAGCGAGAATAAGGAATAAGGAGGGTAGGCTTGACAGTTGACAGGGCAGCAGGGAAGCAGGGCAGCAAGGGGGGGGGGGGTATGGCCGACTACTAACAGGGAATATGATCCTAAGATGCGATTTGGTCGTCAGATATGTGACAACCAAGGACCCCCTGCAAATACCATCCCATGATTCCCATTTCCCGTTCCAAGGATTTTCAGTTGACAGACGCTCGGACCCCTGTTAGGGAGATGCTTCTAAACAAGTACTTGCTGTTTCAATAATTGGACTGAGCGATCTGACCTGCCTTTGACGTCGGCTTTGCTTCTCGATTTGGGCTGGCCGGCCCTATAGTACATTAGTCCACCCCGGTGAGTTAGTTTTTAAGCATTTTGTTGATCGTTATCTTCACTTGGGTCCCTAGCGGATCGTCGATGTGATTTTGACCCGTCGTTGCTGTCGCTTCGTACGAAACCTACCAAGCGTGTACTCCCCATGTGTTGCCCATCCACGGGCCAAGAACCGGAATGGGAGCACCGGCCCTTTCATCTGTCAGATCCTTGATGACATCCCAGCATCACTCCGCTCAAGATCTGATGCCAACAAGATGCTATTAACTTAACTAGTGTATAATTCTACACTTATGTATGGGGCCATGCCATGCCTTTGGTTCTTTGCTCGCGGCAGTACTTTGAACTAGTGCCTATTCAAGGAAAGCCATCTGGACAAATATCGGTCCTTTTGGGAAGTTGTAGATGTTAGCTTGTGCTGAAGACTATGCCAACTACCCGATTTAGAATCGTCTTGCAACCGATTTTGGCCTAGTTCAGAACTAGATAATAAGTATTATATGTACATACTGTACTGGTGTACAAGGGAATAGGCTGAACCGACATCTGAAGAACTGTGGTTGAAGATTTGCTTGTTACAAAGGAGTGGCATTTTCCGAATGACGCCCACATCCAAGGGCGCTATGCAAGCGCATGGCCATAATTCGAGTGGCTCTGAGGCGCTCACCGGTGTAGCTCTCACCGAAGATGGCCGGGAAATGCATAAAACTTTTAATATAACTATAAGGTCTTACTCACCGAGTTTGCCTAACGATAGGAGAGCAAACATCAACTGTTAGTGTTAGTCCTATAGTAATACTACCACATAAATATTTCCTTAATACAATTAACCATCATAATTCATACATAAAGGCATTATCAAAGGGGGCTTCGGGTCTTAGTAATTAAGTGTCACCTGCAGCAGCCTTAAGACGTTGGCGAGCTTTCAACCCCAATTAAGCTCAGGCCATTTTCTGACAGGCCGCGGCATGATCAATGTAGTTTGGTAGTTTGTACTAGTGGTAAGCGTGCGATACGCCTCAAGACACGTTTATAGTGATGCCTGGATAATGTTGCTCCGATGCATTGAGCACAGGTTCCTAAGCGTATAAATTGCATCTATTGGCTCTCTACGTTGCTTGACCCGAGTTGGCGTTTTTGATCCCTAAATCTTA